GAAAGGAAAGGAAAGGAAAGGAAAGGAAAGGAAAGGAAAGGAAAGGAGAAAAGGAAGAACAATAGCAATAGCACTTAGAATTATATGCCACTTAATAGTGCTTTATAGCCCTTTCTAAGTGGTTTACAGAGTCAGCCTCTTGTCCCCCAAACAATCTGGGTCCTCGTTTTACCCACCTCGGAAGGATGGAAAGCCGAGTCTACCTTGAGCCGGTCAGGATCGAACTCCTGGTAGTGGGCAGAATTACCCTGCAATACTGAATTCAGACTACTGGATGATAGATAGATAGACAGACTAGGCAGACAGAGAGACAGACATGGAAAGAGAGACAGAGAGAAACAGTGAGGGACAGAGAGAGAGAGAAACTGAGGGACAGAGGGACAGAGACAGATAGCAATAGCCCTTAGACATATACAGCATTACAGGACTTTTCATCCCTCTCTAAGCAGTTTTTACAGAGCCAGCCTCTTGCCCCCAACAATCTGGGTCCTCATTTTACCCACCTCGGAAGGAGGGAAGGCTGAGTCAACCTTGAGTCAACCTGAAAGTAAGTTTGTTGTTGATGGTCTTTTTGTTTTTAAAAGAAGAAACTCAAGGGGGAGACCGGTTCAAATCCGGTGACCCCAGTGAAGATTCCTGATTGTCCTGTCCCTGCTGCTTTGCTAGAAGAGCTGCTGAAACCTCCATCGGCGGTGAGTAAAGAGCCACTGAGGAACCTCAACAGCTGCCTCCAGCAACTCCGGTGAGTCACGTTTTCTGCCTTTTTCAACTCCAAAAAAAATCAAAAATGGCCACGCGCAAAAACGAAAAGCACCTAGAAAGAAATAATCACAAATTATGCTGCAAATAATTTGGGAATCACAAGTGCTATTTTGAGGGTTGACTCATTTTTTACTGCCAATGAATCTCCTCACATTCCTAAAACAAAGGATTGGGGTGAGGGGCTGTTTTTCCGATTTGGGGGGCCTGGGAAATGAATACAGTTGGTTCAGCAGGATTCTTCTTAATAGCAACAGCAGTTAGACTTATACACCGCTTCACAGGGCTTTACAGCCCTCTCTAAGCAGTTTACAAAATCAACATATTGCCCCCAAGAATCCCCATTTTACCAACCTTGGAAGAATGGAAGGCTGAGTCAACACTGAGACAGTCAGGATCAAATCCCAGGCTGTGGGGAGAATTAGTCTGCAGTACTGAATTCTGATAGAAGATAGGTAGGTAGGTAGGTGGGTGGATGGATAGATGATAGACAGACAGACAGACTAAACAGACAGACAGACTGAACAGACAGACAAATGGAGTTGACAGGCAGAGAGTGAGAGAGAAACTAAAAGACAGAGAGATAGACATAGAGAGAGAGTGCAACATAGATAGCAATAGCCCTTAGAGCTCTCCAAACTTGGCAACTTGAAGACTTGTGGACTTCAACTCCCAGAATTCCTCAGCCAGCATAGGTGGTGAGGAATTCTGGGAGCTGAAGTCCACAAGTCTTCAAATCGCCAAGTTTGGAGACCTGACTGGGCAATTCTGGGAGCTGAAGTCCACGAGTCTTCAAGTTGCCAAGTCTAAGCCATTTACAAAGTCAGCGTATGGCCTCCCAACCATCTGGGTCCTCATTTTACCGACCTCACAAGGACGGAAGGCCGAGTCAACTTTGAGCCAGTCAGCATCGAACTCCTGGCATTTGGCCAGTGAGTCAGCCTGCAATGCAGCATTCTAACCCCTGCACCATCACGGCTCTAAACCGTTGTTGTTTCTCTTCCATGTTTCTGACCTCCTGAAAGGCAAGAGATGGACAGCCTGCAGCGTCAAATGGAAGAGCACACTGTGACGGTCCACGAATCGATGTCTTCCTGGACGCAGATCGAAGGCCAGTTGACAGACCTCACTACTAATCTTTCTGTAACTCTGTTAGCCAATGAGAGTCTTCCTCACAGAGACCTCCAAGATCATAAGCCAAACACGGACGTCCAGGAAGAGGTGACCCAGTGATCCCAAGGCCCACGGATTTCCATCAGAACTGCTTTAAGTATGTTTAAAAAAAAAGAGAGAGAGAGAAGTATTTATCAAAACCCTATTTATATTTTGTTCTTAAACCTTTTAGAGTCTTCAGTCTACGGTTCGTTTTAGCAAACGGGAAATTTTTTTTTGAAGGCCGTAGCTTGATCAGACAAGCAAAAATAGAGATGGTGGGCTGGAAAGGATGCGAGGTTTGCTGTATTAAACTTTTGAGAACTAAGGATTTGGATTAGGATGGCTGCAGAAAGAAGACAAAACAGGGTCCCTTTTAGTTTCCACTTTTTTGGGAATTTTGTGACTGTTAATGGATACTCCACCAAATCCAGTATTTTTTAATTATGGTATCTTTTGATTCATATTTCAACACATCAAGCAACCAAATTGCTCATCGCGAAACCACAGTGAAGCTGTTTATCCAATGGCACCAGTTGGCTCCTAAGCAAATAATTTCCCAGTAAAATGTTTGGATTCCTCTTCTGACAGATGCTGTTTGCACATTTTTCGTTGTTGTTTCTCTTTGCAGACATCTGCAGGATGGAGTTGTGGGTGAGGTTACTTTGTTCTGGAGCCTCTTACATATATATGGATTCTTCTATAGATTATAAAGCACCTGGGTCGGGTTTTTTTTTTGTCTTACTAAAGGTGATTTGTTAAGTTTTTGGTGTCCTGCAAAACATGGTGTGGATATGGGCCTGAGAAAGCTAAAACCAGAGCTTTTTAGACATTTAATTCACTTATTTATCTTTCAAAGAGAAATGTTCTATTCTGCCTATAAAATCCTAGTTTCTTAGCTTTAATTCCATCCTCTACCCCATGGCTTCCTCCTGAGACTTAACCAGGAGCCAGAATTCATGTACTGTGTTTTTTTTTTTTTTGCGAATGCATCTTCATTTATAATTCATCGGTTGAAATAATATAGTTTCTTTAAATTGTTTCTCGACAACTGACAGCACCTTTTTGTGCTCTGGGTGGAAAGACAGGATTTTTTACCCTGGCCAAATTGTACTGTAGGATATGCTAGGAAATAACAGGAAGCGTGAATGGAGAACACAAAGGTAGGAGATATTGTGATCTTGGCTGGAAGTTATGGATGCTTGAGGTGAGAATCAGGTGAGGGAGTCTCGTCCAAGATTTTAACAGATACAATTGTGAAATCAGCAGCTATGAGTCTCACTCTGTCTTCATGCACATCACATTTATGGGAGCATACCAGACTGCCCCTACAATGCCACATTGTCCAGAGATAAACCTAAATCTAAAGTTTAGATAACTTCACGGATTAAACGTGATGAAGGAAATTTTGGAGCAGGACTAACAGATGGAGACAATCTATAAATGAAATATGTGTTTCAACAGTCTGACCAAAAAAAGCTCCCAACTTTGAGTGGTATGGATTGATTGAATGCGGAAGGATTATTTTTCCCAGTATTTGTAGAAATGTCACTCTGATTTTCCTGTTAAAGCCAGGCCTTTTTTTTTCACTAGGTATTCTGCTTTTTTCTCAAAACAGACTTTAGATAGGCACTTTGATTGTTCAGCTTTTTCCAACCTGAGTTTCAATATTTTTAATATTCTGATTCTGAAACTTCTGTCAGGCATTTTTTTATTTTTATTTTCATCTTAATACGTGAAGGAAAGGTGGTTTTTTAAATGTAAAGCTTTCTACATTTGAGAGGAAGGAATCTCAGATATGCTTAACTATTTGATAAGACTAATCTAAACTTATCAAAACACCATCTTGAAGGCTTTATGGGTCAATTTAGACAGGTGGTAACTTTTATTATAAAGTTGGTTTTATACAGTAAAATAGCAATGTTTTTTTTGCCGCTCATATCTGAAGCTTATATATTTGCTAATGTATGCAAGAAATACTGTAGTATTTAAACACCAAAGTCAATATTATGTAATGAATAATATGTATATGATCACTTCCAAACTTTGCTGTTCCACTTAGTTGTTTGCATTTTACAATTTTTGATTTACTCATGAAGAGTTTTCTGAGCGTGCTATCAACAGTCATAGCTGAATGCAATGTAAAAATTACTCCTTCAGCAATTTGGGTGAAGGGTGAAGGGGCAAAAACAGAGTTGTTGTATTTTTACTAAATGAAAAATCCATTTCCCCCGCTTCCCTTTTCCAGACCGTCTTATTTATACTTCCCGTGGCTTTGTCATTTTGACTAGGAAAGAAGTGGATTGTGTAAGTCTGGGAATCCCTGACTCGGCAAATTTCCTCTCGAAAAAATATTTAATGTCATTCTCTCTTTTTAAAAGTGCTATCATTTAATTCATACTTCGAGAAACCAGGGTTGTGAAGGGCTCTCCATCTGCACTTTCAGACTAATCAAGATCTATAAATTATTCAGGGTGGTCCCTTTTGGTTTTTATTTTTAAATATTCAAAATAAATAATAGAGCCATTATGGTTATTGCATTTTTTTTACAAAATGTACGTTTATTTATCCCTGGAAGGTAACAGCTAGATGTGACTGTTCTCAGTGTTTTTCTGAATATTAGCAGAGGTTGGTTCTGAAAGGCTTTAAATCTGTCATTGTTCACAGCAATTTTCTGCAGTGCAACAATATGGTGACTATTAATTCACCTGACGGTCTTCCAGGTTATTTGGAGACTTAGGCGTTCTGCGAACTTTTTCCTTGTGCATCGTCGGTTTCATTTTCCAGTCTGGCAATGCTTGTCTCATTCTACCAGGAAAAAAAAAATTCTGCTTGAAAGAAAAATACTTTTCCCAGAGGGAAGCAGGCTTTGAACGATGCTTTGGGAAAACTGGTCCTTTTCTAAATCAAAATTGTAATTTTTTACTTTTTGGGTAAGCAGCTGCACTAAGTCAAAAGGGAGCACTGATGCTAGCTATCACCTTTACAATTATGTCACTGGCTTTTTGAGTGACAGATATGTAATAAAAGTAAAGTTGCCTTAATTTAGAAATTCTGGTCAAACGGTCCCATTTATAATGAGGATCTGTTTCAAAGTAGTTTCAAAGTTTTTCTCCCCCTTGCTTACTCATAGGAATCTCTTCTGTCACAGTAGCCAATGCAGAATATTCTTTTCCCAAAAGAGCATCTTATGCATATCATTTTATCACATTTTTTCTTGTTCCCGGCAAATGGTTGTCTCATTCTATTTAATGAGGGGAGGGGAAATGTCATTTTCATAACATGTTTGAGTGAGTGTTCCAAAGGAAGAGTTAGATGTGTTTGATTCAAGATTAATAATTGTGCTTTAAAAAAAAAAACAGGGCATGTTAATTTAAGAAAAATCTTTAAGATACGCTAAACATTCTTGAAAGGTTTTGTGCAATAAACTATTTTTCATTAAAAAAAAAAAAGATGTGCCCACTGCGTATTTTAACTCTATGGTGTGTATTTTAACTTTATAGGAGAGCCATGTTAAGTCGATGCCAGTCTTATTGTCTGTGATAATTTGAGTCCAGCCATTTGTACCTTGAGTGGGAAGGCTGGGATGGTTTGGTCAGTGATCTATTGATTTTTTTTGGCTGCCTACTGTAATGCTCGTGTGTCCAGCTCTCCTTTAAATTGTTGGAAGAAATATCTGGGTTCAGTTCCAAGTGGGGAAAAAGACACTGGAAACATGGAGGCTGTTTGGAAAGATGGTTTAATGGTGGACAGGAACACATGGCTTGGAGTTCCAAAGAAGGAAGGGATGATCACATGCTTCAAGATGTTGGGGGAAGGAAAAGAAGGGTGGGCTGAGATGCTGAGAGTCCCTTATATACCCTCTGTTGGGCCCCACCTTTGGGTTTCCTGTTCCTGTGTAAGAAACGCATCCCACTGGCTGTCAGACTCCCAGGGGCAGGAGGGCCTTAGCTAACTTTGTAGGCTTTGTCTGGACCACAAGGCTTCACCTGAGTGCTGGCTGATCTTCCCAGGCCAGGTGGTGAGGTGGGTAGAGGCCTTTGTTATGTAGAATACTCTGGCCCAGGCCTTAATGACCCACCCATTAACAAAGCTTCTGCCTCTCTGAGTTTCTACTTCTCTTTTTAGGGGAAATATTCTGCCTTTTTAGTATATCCCAAAATATTTCATTTTCCTAGGAGAGGGGTGGGTTTTAATGTCCAACAAAATCTACATCCCATCAATTGTACAGGTAGCCCTCGACTTGCAGCAATTCATTTAGTGACCGTTTGAAGTTACAGCACTGGAAAAAGCGACAGGGCCATTTTTCCACACTTGTGACCGCTGTAGCGTCCCCATGCTAACGTGATCAAAATTCAGACGCTTAGCAACTGACTCATATTTACGACGACTATCTCGTCCAGGGATCAGGCGATCCCGTTTTGCGACCTTGTGGCAAGCAATGTCAACGGGGAAGCCAATTTCACTTAACAAAACCAGGTCGCTGGCCTAACAATGGCAGTGATTCACCTAACAACGGTGGCAAGTCGTAAAAGGGGGCAAAACTCAAATGAACAAATGACTCACTTAGCAACGTAAATTTTGGGCTCCGTTGTGGTCATAAGTCGAGGACTACCAGGACCCTTTTTAAAAAAATAATTGATTTCTGTAATAGAAATAATTGATTAGAAATCAATTATTAGAAATAATAGAAATAATTGATTTCCCTTTGATTGTTTCCTGTTTCTTTGACCTTAACAAAACAAGGAGTGGATTCTGGTGAAAAAGACCAGATCAGATGATTTAAAAAATTGGCCAGAAAGTTGAACTTTAGTCAACTCATAATAATTTGGAACCAGCCATTTGCAAAGATAACCCACCTTTGCAAACCCAAAAGCTAGAAAGTTATACACCTAAGAGTTAAGCGCAACGTGGCTTTGCTGGAGAACTTGGCTGCATTCTCCACTTCCGGTTTCTATGCGGCTCCGCCGACGCCACTCATCTCCAGCCTTTGCGTGGCAGCTTCGGAGGCTTCAATCGGAAACCGGAAGTGTTTCCCTGGCGGATCCTTTTCTCTGCCCTTCCACTCAAGCCGTTGCCGGGGGCAACCGAGCTGGCACTTTCTCAAGGCGACAGTTGGGGTGGTTGGGGCTCGTCCACAAGATTGGACTACACCTCCCATGCCCCGGAGGGATTATGGGCTTTTCTCCTATTCATGGCCTGCCCTCCCCCTCTCTCCTTGCGTGTGACGTAGCGGCCCGCGATTGGTCACCTCGGCGCCCCTTTCAAACACCCAAAGGGCACGCGAGAGGGGCCGCTTCGCTGTCGAGGCCTCGGGACCACCGGGGAGAAGCCAGCACCCGGCCTCGGTCTCCTCCTCAGCCCCTCGACGGGGCACAAGAGCCGATGCCTTCGGCGCAGGCATTCTCGCGGACAACCCCGCGCGCGGACGTCCGTTGGAGCGCCGGCGGGGGGATTCGTGGCCAGGAGTCGCCTGGCGCACGCGCGCGCGCGCGAGGCCGTCTGCGCCTGCGCGGACCTCGCACCGGCGCGTGGGGAAGGGAGCGCGACGGACGCCGGGAAGTCCCTCACGAGGTACCGCCCCGGGGTTTATTTTCCCCCCCCCTCCCTCCGCCTGCTTGTGCGCCTGCGTAGTGGCGTCTGTCGGCCGGGGAAGCGATGGAGCGCTGGGTGGCGGGCGGCTTGTGGCGGGCCGGCTGGGCCGGTTGGCCCGCCTGGGAGCTGCTGGCCGCCTGCGCCGTGATCGGCGCGCTGGGCTGGCTGCTGCGGCTGCTGGAGCGAGGCCCGCGGGGTCGAGGCCCGAGGCCCAGCGCGACGCCTCCGTCCACGCCGCCGCCGCCTGCTGAGGAGAGGCCTCCGCGCTGCTTCGACCGCTGCGACGGAGGTGAGAGGCCTCCCCCCGCGGCTGCCTTTCCGCTCCCTTCTCCCAGCACCGCCTCCCTGCCAGGTAGGCCTCGGGCCCCGCGCTGGGGATGATGGGGGCGGGAGTCCCCAAGCGCCTTGGGTGTGGGGCGGGGGGGGTGGTGCCTTGCGATCCAAAAGGGAGGAGAGAGAGCGAGCGAGAGGTTTGGTTAATTCCAGGAATAGGGGAGAAAAAGAGCGGGGGGGGGGGGGGAAAGGCCGGGGGGATGGGAGACCACCGGGTGATCCTGGAGGAGCAGGTGGGGCGAGCAGAAGGGAGCCTGGATGGAGGCCGGGCTGCTCTTCTCCCATGGCCTGAATGGTTTAGCTTGCCTCGCTTTGGCATCGAACCACTTGGGAAGAAGCCCTCTGGGCGTTTCACAGCAGAACAGAGTCGGGAGGGACCTTGGAGGTCTTCTAGTCCATCCCCTCTGCTCAAGCAGGAGACTCACACGCGTGCATTTATAATGTTGGACCTCATTTCTACTGTTTCACCGTTTTCCTGCCAAACCATCTGAAGAAGAGCTCTTGTTCCCCGCCCTAATCCCACCTAAGGCTCAAGGAAAAAGCATAAACCCCCCCCCCCTTTTTTTTTTAGCCAGGTTGGTTTAATGGTTAAGGTGTACAGCGGTGAGTTCTAGTCTTGCCTTAGCAATGAAAGATGGCTGGGTGACTTTGGACCAATTACCAGGAGTCTGGGAACTCTAGTCCCGCCTTAACCATAAAAACCAACTGCGTAATTTTGGACCAATCACCAGGAGACTGGAAGTTCTAGTCCTACCTTAACGATGAAAGCCAGCTGGGTGACTTTGGG